ATTTTACAAAACAAGTTTGCAACAGTCAGGTGGCTTAATCAGGCTACGTAGGCTGTGAATTTATCCCATTTTTGTCTTGCAGATAAAATCAAATCTGCATGTTTAGCCCAAAGTTAAATGAATGACATTGTCATCACGACAATAAAAGAGCCTTCTGTCATAATGGATTTAGAAATTTAAAAAACAACCCCTCAACTTTTTCGTAAAACTATGGAGTCTAGAAAAACAGTTTTGTCTCTTCTTGGGAAATCTGTCAGTCTGAGTGAATAAATATAATCAAGGTTTAATTCCAAGCACATTTTTTGGGGGAAAATCAAGACTGGGATGTCTGTGACACTGTCTGTGACTCTTTTATGTGAAATTCTGTCATTTGTTTTCTCTGAAGTTGGAGACAAGCAGCCGATGATACTGAAATGGAGGATTCTCTCTGCCACCAACGATTTGGATCGCGTTTCAGCTGTGGCTTTGCCAAAACTGCCAATCTCCCTAACCAATACTGACCTCAAAGTGGCTAATGACACCAAATTCTTCCCTGGACTGGGTAAGGAGGCTTCTTTTCTGGGCATCTAACTGCAGATCAAAGTTTTGCTGCCGAGCAGAGAGGGCCCCAGCTACTTTGGAGCGTGTTTGTGTGCACCTTGATAGAAGATGTCCTGTCACAATGAAAATGCCCTTTAAAACTTCACCAAGTCTGTTCCCAGTGGGAATGGTCACATCCCCCTAGCAATGAGGAAGAACTCACACAGGAGGAAGTGTCGTTGTTGTCACATGTGCGGGGGTGCCTGATGGGGATGTGAATGGGTAACTGGTTACCTGGTAACCATCACCCTAACCAGGTGTCAGTTAACAGGTACCCAGGAACAGCCCCCCAGGGGTTGGGAGCTGCCCCATTGGTGAGCAGGGGGCACTGGGAGCAGAAGCTGCCATGCCCCCCGACCTGCTGTGAGGTGCTGGCTCCTTCTGCCAGCTCCCCCTCCCTCCGCAAAGGGGGGAGGGGTGGGAGCGGGATCCCTCCTAATCTGTTAACCAGTTAAACCTGAGATTGAATTGCTCAGCTGATTAATCTGCCGCTGTGCCCCAGCTTTTCCGTGTCTGCTAGTGGGCACTGAAGAAACCTAGGAAGCTGGGGGCTCCTGTTCTCAGCTGTCCATGCAGCGGCACTAGTGAGACAGGCGCTGAGGAGAGACACTATGTAGCGGTTAGAGTGGAGGATGAGAGTCAAGCCTTCTGGGTTCTTCTCGGTTCTGCTGCTGTCTTGCTGGGTAAACTTGGGCACATGGCTTAGGATGTTCTGGTACCACGGCGGTGGGTCAGTACAAGGATCTGATTAGAATCACGTTTGCTTTTCCAAGATGCTGAGCACCCATAACTCCCCCAGCGGGAGCTCTGCGAGCCAGGCCCAGGCTCCGTTTATGCAGCATGTCGTGTCTGTGTCCGTCTTACGGTACATCGGCGCTGTGGCTGGGGGTGCTTTTTCAACAGGTCTCGTGTAGCTGTATGCACGCTAGCATTGATAGAGCTGGCATGCTGAACCTGGCGGTTCCTGTGGGAGGGGCTAGCTGCCCTGAGCACAGGACCCTGGGTATGTATTCAGGTGGTTAGCCTGTGTTACTGCTGCAGCTCCTCTGCTGTTTTTAGCATGCCGGACAGATCAAAGCTAGGGCGTGTACATCCACCCGAGCTGGAGATCTGACCTCTGTTCCAGGGTAGACGTGTGCTTAGACTGTAGGCTTTGGGGGCAGGGCCCATCTTTGCTCTTTGCCAGGTTTAACACACCACAGAACGGGTGTACTTGTACCTGCCTCTCAGTGAATTTGTCTTAATGTTTGCAAGTCACTTGCTAAGCCCCTGATATTTCCTGCCCCCAGGTCTTGCTTTGGCCTTCCACGATGGCAGCGTGCACATCGTTCATCGCTTATCCTTGCAGACCATGGCAGTGTTCTACGGATCCTCCTCTCAGCGCCCAGTGGACGAGCAGGCGATCAAAAGGCAGCGAGCAGCCGGTCCTTTGGTTCACTTCAAAGCCATGCAGCTCTCCTGGACGTCCCTGGCCCTGGTTGGGATTGATAACCACGGCAAGGTACTTTGCCTTGCTGTGTCAGATATGGGGAAAAAACCTAGTAGCTCTGCAAGGCCAGCACGAACTCCCTTCAGTTCTCGAGGGCTCGGCTCTGCTGGATCTAGATGGCTCAAGCAGGGGGCTTCCAGGAAGGTCCCAGGGATGTTATTATAAGTCCGTTTGATCCCGCCAGTAGGAAGTCTCTTCCAGGACACGGCTGTGCAGTTGCTTTGTTTCACAGAACTGTGTCTCCGGCCCAGTAGTGACTGGGCATTGCTAAGGTCAGATGTACGGTCTGTTAAGTTGCATAGCATCAGTGTAATAGATCCCAGTCCAGTTTGCACGCCTCTCCCCAGAACTGGCTGCTTGTTGCTCAGGCCTGAGCCAGGGAGAATGGCCTGCCCTTACCCTGGGAGGCTGTCTCCCTAGATCATGGCAGTGCTACATTTGCAGGGGACAGACCAATCTAGCAGGACCGTGGCTGACCCTTGTGTCTGCTGGAGGTTTTGTAGAGCAGTGATGGCTTTGTCTGACCCCCTGTGGTGTTAGCCCCTTAATAGGGACAGAGCCTCACGAGGGGTGTTCCTGTCCGTTCTTTCTTCAGCTGAGCATGCTCCGGATCTCTCCCTCCATGGGCCATGTGCTGGACATGAACATGTCTCTACGCCACCTGCTCTTCCTGCTGGAGTACTGCATGGTGACGGGGTACGACTGGTGGGACATCTTGCTGCACGTGCAGCCCAGCATGGTGCAGAACCTGGTGGAGAAGCTGCACGAGGAGTACATGCGCCAGAACGCAGCCCTGCAGCAGGTGAGCGCCACAGAGGCACGTGGGGACGGGTAGGAGGGGAGTGGAGGGATGGGGGGTGTTAACTTCCAGGGGTTACTTTAGCCACTAGGCTACGCTGCCTCTCGTAAGCAGGTCCGTGTGTGCTGTCGGGGGCTTGGAGCGATTGTGGGTGGCAGGGAGATTTCTGTGGAGAGAATTCTTATGCATGAACTTCGCATGCAGTCCAGTGTCCAGTGCAGCGGTTCTCAAACCATGGATCAGGGCCACGGCGTAGGGGTCGCTAGAGCAGGCATAGAGTTGCTGGAGCCAAAGCCCAAGGACTTCACCTCTGAGTGGCAAGGCCAGCTGCCAGCCCCCCGCCCCCACCCCACCTGGGGCTTTGGCTCTGGCCCCCCCGGGGTCATGCAGTAATTTTTGTTCTCAGAGGGAGGTTAAAGTGCAGTGAAGTCTGAACTCCTGGTCTGATGAGTTCACCCCAGCAACAGAGCACTGGCTGGTTTAGAGTTAGCATTTTAAGCATGTGATCGGTGCCGCTCTGGACTTGCCTGCTCTGCCTTAAGAGTACACCTGCCCCCCGTACTCCGGGTGCCCCTAATCCAGGAGCGCCTGTGGCTCCGAGACTGGCAGGGGGAGGGGGAAACAGCTCTGCACACTGCCCCCTCTTTTCCCCCAGCTGGGGGAATGGCAGTGCAGCAACATGCTTCCCTGAAGCTTTTCCCCGCCTCTCCCATAGCAGTAGGGGGCGGTGCCTGTGAGTGGCGGGGGTGCAGAGCCACTAGTGCCCCTGGGAGCAGGGCTCCAGGTAAGCGCCCCCCTCCCGCAGCGCCCTCCCTCGCCTGGCATGCTTAGTTTCCCAGGGTGGCCGGTTGAAGACGCCAGCAGTTCACATTGGAACAGCGCTGGGGAGCCTGATGTGGATGTACGAGGGGGAGCCGAGGGGCTGTGTGTTAAGTGGGTTCGTTCTGACTCCGGTCTGGTGGGTCCTGCAGGTTCTCTCCACGCGCATCGTTGCCATGAAGGCCTCTCTCTGCAAGCTCTCCTCCAGCACGGTGGCGCGCGTGTGCGACTATCACGCCAAGCTCTTTCTGATCGCCATCAGCTGCACCCTGAAATCCCTGCTCCGCCCGCACTTCCTCAACACCCCCGACAAGAGCCCCGGCGACCGGCTCACTGAGATCTGCTCCAAGATTACCGACATAGGTAGCAGCCGGCAGCCCTGGAGGCAGCGGGGCCATCTGCAGTCTGTTGTTAGGGGTGCCTCTCCATGCGGGAGCGATTCCCACACCTCAGCGGCTACTGGCCTCAGCGCATGTTCACTCCCTTGGGACCCTGAGGAGTGCTGGTGGAACCCCAGGAGATGGTATAAGAGTGGCCAGGCTGGGTCAGACCAAAGGTCCATCTAGCCCAGTGTCCAGTGCCAGGTGCCCCAGAGGGAGCGTCAGAGGCCAGCTGTGGGCAGTTACAGGTGTTGGGCATGGAGGATCCCAGAGGATCTGTTTATACTGTGATGGCACACGGGCACTGCAGCTGGAGTCAGGCTTTCTACATGCTGTACAGATACTTTGCTAGGGCAGAGGCTTACCACTGGCAAGCTTACGGTCTGACTAGACAAGGGGTGGGAGGAGGAACAGAGGGGAAAGGGACACGTGGCAGCGCTTGGACCAGCACTTAGGTCTCCCGCAGCCCAGTCCAGTGCCTTACCCATTGGGCCATGCTACCTTTTGCAGGCTGCACAGCTGGGTAGCAGTAAAGCCGTATGGATTTGTAGTTGGCAGCTGGGTTTCATAGAGAGAAGCGTGGTCTGTTGGCAGCGGTGGGAAGGCCAAGAGCCTCCCCTCTCCCTGTGCTAGGAGCTGCCTTGCTTCCATTTCAGACATTGACAAAGTGATGATCAACCTGAAGACAGAGGAGTTTGTCCTGGAGATGACCACACTGCAGTCCCTGCAGCAACTCATCCAGTGGGTGGGCGACTTCGTGCTCTATCTGCTCGCCAGCCTCCCGAACCAGGTGAGAACCTGTCCCCTGGCTCTGGCTTGGAGACTGAGGCAGCCTTGTTGGGGGTGAGGGAATCATGGAAGCCCTTCTTCCATGCGGTGGCCTTTGCTGCTGCCCTAGAGACGGATTGCTCTGAAGCCCCTGTGTCCTTTTCAGGGTAACTTGATCTCTTGCTGGAGTGAGCCCACGGCACTGGAGCACACGGAGCGACGTAAAGGAAATGGTTCCGGGGCGATGCCCGTGAACCCAGATCATACAAGTGTCTTTTCCCTGCAGGGATCCCCTGTGCGGCCGGGACACAGCTTCCTGCGAGACGGGGCATCGCTGGGGATGCTCCGAGAGCTCATGGTGGTGATCCGGATCTGGGGCCTCTTGAAGCCAAGCTGCCTCCCTGTTTACACGGCAACCTCCGATACCCAGGATAGCATGTCCCTGCTCTTCCGGCTGCTGACTAAGCTCTGGCTGTGCTGTAAGGGTTTAAAACTTCCCAGAATTCCGGCCACTCGTCCTCTTTGGGTGCAGGGGACATTGCTTGCGGGTTGCAGAAAACCCCCCCAGGGACAGCGAGGCTCTGGGTAGGTCGCTGCCTCCCTGTTTACACGGCAACCTCCGATACCCAGGATAGCATGTCCCTGCTCTTCCGGCTGCTGACTAAGCTCTGGCTGTGCTGTAAGGGTTTAAAACTTCCCAGAATTCCGGCCACTCGTCCTCTTTGGGTGCAGGGGACATTGCTTGCGGGTTGCAGAAAACCCCCCCAGGGACAGCGAGGCTCTGGGTAGGTCTGTAGCCATTAGAAGGGGAAGGCGGCCACAGCCGTGATCACCAGTTGGTCAGTCGCGATCGACTGGTCAGTCCTGGAAACTCGCCCCGTTGCTTGTGATTCCTGGTGGTGCAGTGGGGCTGTCGCGGCGCGGCCCCCGCAGCTCCCATTGGCCAGGAACGGGGCACTGTGGCCATTGGGAGCTGCTGGGGCAGTGGCTGTGGAGGGGGCAGTGAGTGGAGCCACGTACTCCCCACCCTGGGGCTGTAGGGACATGGCCCCTTCTGGGAGTCATGTGGGGCTGGAACAGGCAATGAGCCTGTCTTAGCCCCATTGCACTGGCAGCTGTACCCACACTCCCTCACAGAGCTTGCACCCTGGTTCAGCCCGCAGCCCCTTCTCGCACTGCAAACCCCTTGGCCCTCGCCCAGGGCTGCACCCCGTCTGAACCCCCATCCCCTGCCCCAGCCCGGTGCTTGAGGGTGAGGGAGGGGCGGGACGGAGTGAGCAGGGCAGGGCCTAAGGAGGTTGGAGACCACAGGGCTACCGGATTGATTGTTTCTTGAGCTGCCAGCCTGCGTCAGGGAGGGGGGAACCCTGCAGACGGCTGCATTTCTTGTGCTTCCAGCAAGGGGCCCGTTCCAGAGAGCTCTCTGCTTCGTCTCCCACGCAGGTCGAGACGAAACTCACCCGAGCGAGCCGGACGATACCCTGATTGACGAGTGTTGTCTTCTCCCCAGCCAGTTGCTCATTCCCAATATAGACTGGCTGCCCATCAACGACGGCATTATCAGCAAGCTGCAGAGCAAGCAGCTCATCAGGCTGCAGTTCGGGAAGGCCCCTGGACTCGTCGGCCACACTGTCTCGTCACAGTTCGATGTCTTTGTCAGGTATGGAAGGCTGAACCACGCAGGTAGTGCGGTTAGAGCAGAGCGAGGACTGGGCTCTCCTGGCTGTGTCACAAATTCACTCTGTGACTGCAGAAGAGTTGCTTGCGCTCTGTTTTTCCATCTCTGAAATGGGTACAGTGCCTTGGGGTTAAAAGTGGCACTTTAAGCCCTCGAGTGTAGCCTTTGCATGTGGAGAAGGGTTGTAACAATGTCCCACTGAGAGATACAGGTACAGGTGTTCTGTGTGACAAGCCCGCAGTCCTAGAAATAGGGTTTTTGCAATTTTTGGGCTGTGCAGTTTCTCACGTTTTCCTTCCTATGCAGGGCACCTGGGCAGCCAAAAATTGATCACTTGAGACGGCTGCACTTAGGGGCGTATCCAACAGAGGAGTGCAAGTCATGTACTCGGTAAGTTCAGCACGTCTGATCCCTTTCATTCACGGCTGGTTTTATTCGGGGCTTGCCTGCTTAAAAGCTGTGCCCGTCCATGCCCTAGTAGGTCTGTTCTCTTAGCAGTCCCTTTGTCGTTAGCATGGGAAAAACTACCCATGTTTTCTGTGTACTTGAGAGAGTGTCGTTGCGCCCCCTTGCGGTTGGAAGGAAGCTGAGACAATGGTGATTATGCTGTTCCATTAACCTTTTCCCTGGGCTGCTTCAGATCCCTAAGTGCTGGACTAGTCTGACAAAGGTGTAAGTTCTCACTCAGTACAATGCTCCCCAAGGGCATTCCAGGTTGTAGTTGCATGTGTATGTTTGTGTGCGTGTGTGTTACTGTTTGCTGTTCCCTGCAAAGCCAGTGCAGCTGTGGAAGAGAGCTGGGCTCTGCCCTGCTTTACACATTGTCCCAGAATTGCTAGCTACTTTCCAGTTGCGCTCCATGACATCTGCAGATAATACGGCTTTGGGCACAGGGTAGGAGGGCTGTGTTGATGCACAGACATAACTGAGGACAGAACTTTGCCTGCAGACTCCTAGTGGTGAGTTTTGATGACTAGGAACGATCTCGGGCCAGTGATTGCATGCTTGGATGTTACCGATTCAATTCTTGGAGCGAGCGAAAGGGAATGAATTCAGCACCCACACTGACCGCTTCAGCATCCCTGTTCAGAGCGGCCCTGCATTGGAAGTCCTTCCAACCGGCTCCTTTCGCTCTCTTCTCTGCTCTCCCCTCATAAGGAGCCTGGATTGTGCAATGAAGGTGCCGTGAATGAGCAGCCAACTGATCAGATGATTAAATTGGTCTTGAATGTTGGTTTTTCTCGGGAGTCCCCGTGGCAGGCTGCTTTCACAAGGCTGTTGTGTCCGTTGGCGGTTGGTTTCCAGTGGGGTGCCGCAAGGATCAGTACGAGAGCCGGTTTTATTCAGTATCTTCATTAATGACATGGATGAGGGGATGGATTGAACCCTCAGCAAGTTTGTGGATGACACTAAGCTAGGGGGAGAGGTAGATACGTTGGAGGGCAGGGATAGGGTCCAGAGTGACCTAGGCCAGTGTTTCCCAATTTTATTTGGCCACGGAACCCTTTCAGACTCGAAAGAATTTTGCAGAACCCCTAATAAAAATCTAATATGGGGACATCAGCGCAGAGTAGTGACATCATCGTCCCCACTCTCTGGCCAAGCTGGCATTACACAGGGACACTTATCGTGGCAAACACAAATGAAAACCGTTTTCAATAATATTCATAAATGCTTAAATAATAAAATGTGATTGTAATGGAATTTTCTCGCGGAACCCTTATTTTCACTTTGCGGAACCCTGGGATTCCGCGGAACATCATTTGGGAAACACCTAGACAGTTTAGAGGATTGGGCCAAAAGAAACCTGATGAGGTTCAACAAGGACAAGTGCAGAGTCCTGCCCTCGGGACGGAAGAATCCCAAGCGTTGTTACAGGCTGGGGACCGACTGGCTAAGTGCAGTTCAGCAGAAAAGGCCCTGGAGATTACAGTAGATGAGAAGCTGGATATGAATCAACAGTGTGTCCTTGTGGCCAAGAAGACTGCATATTAGGTTGCATTAGGAAGAGCATTGCCAGATCTAGAGAAGTGATTATTCCCCTTTATTCAGCACTAGTGAGGCCGCATCTGGAGTGTTGCATCCAATTCTGGGCCCCCCACTACAGAAAGGATGTGGACGCATTGGAGAGGGTCTAGAGGAGGGCGACCAAAATGATTAGGGGGCTGGAGCATTTGACCTACTAGGAGAGGCTGAGGGATTTGGGCTTGTTTAGTCTGCAGAAGAGAAAGGGGGGGGGGATTTGAGAGCAGCCTTCAGCTTCCTGAAGGGAGGTTCCAAAGAGGCTGGAGAGAGGCTGTTCTCAGTGGGGACAGATGCAGAACGAGGAGCAATGGGCTCAAGTCGCAGTGGGGAAGACTTAGGTTGTATATTAGGAAAGACTATTTCCCTAGGCGGGTGGGGAAGCGCTGGGCTGGGTTCCCTAGGAAGGGGGTGGTGTCTCCATCCCTAGGGGTGTTTAAGTCTCAGCTTGAGAAAGCCCTGGCTGGGATGATTGAGTTGGAGCTGATCCTGCTTGGGGCAGAGGCCTGGACTCGCTGGCTTCTGAGGTCTCTGCCAGCCCTGGGATTCTGTGATTCTATGATAACTGGAAATCGTTACATTGGAGACAGCTTGTGTCCCCCTGACACCCCCTTTCACTTGGGAGCATTTCTTATGCCTTTTCCATTGCGCTTTGCTTCTCCCAAGCATCACCTGGAAAGGGCAAAAAGCTCATGCCCTCCTGTGACTTCTCAGTCCCGCCCTGATCCATAAAGGCCCCGGCCGTGCCAGCGTGCACTTCACGTGCTCTGTGTTTGTGTCTCTCAGATGCGGCTGCGTAACCATGCTGAAATCACCTAACAAAACCACAGCGGTGAAACAGTGGGAGCAGCGCTGGATCAAAACCTGCCTCTGCGGGGGGCTTTGGAGGAGAATGCCGCTCAGCTACTCCTGAAAGCGCCTCCTGCCAGGGGACAAGGGAACAAACCTGCCCTTGGTGGGGGAACAGCTTAGAGCAGCCTTTCCAATTTAGAAACCTGGGAATTCGGACCGGAGTCAGCTGGCTGGATGTCTGAGAGAAAACACATCGCTCTTCCCGCTGCCAAGAAGCAAAGGAGTGTTTAGAGGCTCATCCTCCTTTGTGCGCTAAACTAAAAGGAAAAGAGAATTTTTGAAGAAAAGAGTAAGAGGGGAATCTCCCCATGTGGGTTTCTCTGCCACACTCTGAGAGGCAGCATGGTCTAGTGGTCAAAGCACATTTATGGGAAATCTAGGTTCTGTTCCTACTTCTCCCACTATCTGCCTATGAATCATGGAACGGGTTGGGCCTCCTCAGTTTCCCGTCTCTAAAAGGTGAGGGATCATACCGATTCCCCCTCTCTCCCCCCATATACACACACTTTACACATCACCTTGGTCCTCTGGTGAAGGCTTTTTTATCCGTGTACAGTCTCAGTATTCGAATGGGAGCGTTTCCCCGTTTGAGGGACCAGAAGGACGTTACTGCCCTGGGCTGAGACCAGCAGAGGGCTGTCCTGCCAGTAGCGCTGTCTTGTAAATAATAATTCTCTTTGTTTTGCACAAAGTTTTAGTAAAATCTCTAAATCTTCAGAAGGATTTTTCCCTCTCTTGTTACGTTACTAGCTTGCTGCACGTAAGAGCTTTCAAAGAAGGAAATAGCAGCTAATGCCGGGCTCTTTGAGCTATCCGGGAAAGGCCTGAGGGGCACCCAATGGCTGCATGTTACTAGCCAGACAAAGTAGTTGAGTGTGTAGGATGCTTGGCCAGGTGACATGGGGGCTATCTGGGGCTGTTCCCTTACATTGGGCACCTTTCTGTGCCTCTGTTTCCCCACCAAGCCCTCTCTGTTGGATTGTAAGCTCTTCTGGACACAGATTGTCGCTATGTGGTACAGTGCCTGGGGCAATGGCTCTGTGTGCATGCCTGCGCTAGCAATGATCAATGATCAGGAAGGAGAAAACTTGTTCATCTTGGCCTCTGAGGATAGAGCAAGAAGCAATGGGCTTAAACTGCAGCAAGGGAGGTTTAGGTTGGACATTAGGAAAAACTTCCCACCTGTCAGGGTGGTTAAACACTGGAATAAATTGCCCAGGGAGGTTGTGGAATCCCCATCTCTGGAGATATTTAAGAGCAGGTTAGATAAATGTCTATCAGGGATGGTCTAGACAGTATTTGGTCCTGCCATGGGGGCAGGGGACTGGACTTGCTGACCTCTCGAGGTCCCTTCTAGTCCTGTGATTCTATGAATGACCAATTGCCGTTTCTCTGCTAAGCAGTCGCCCCGGTGGGTGAAAGATGTAGTGCACAATTTAAAATGGAGGGGGGAAAATTAGCTGTGGGTTCGCATCTCCGAGTTAATCAAAAGTTGTCTTCCTATGCAGGAAATACCTTCCCCAAAGTGGTGGTGAATAGACCTGAGGTGGGCGTGCTGATATACTGAGATTATCCCTGGCTTCCTTCCTGCTTGCAGTTCAGCTATTAGGCTCTTTATACTGGTTATTTCCCCATCAGCCGTTTGCAGATTCTGCTGAGTTAAAAAACCCACCTGAAAACAACACCAGTCTCTCGATCTTATCGCTGAGCTGCCTTGCAAGGTGCTGAGCCGCAAAGTGTTTTGTTCATGCTGCTGCAGACCGTGTCGCAGGAGAAGCGATAGCCGATCGTTCGCCCGGTGACCGGGATGTCTGTTTGCTCTGCGGGGGCCGGGGGAGTCACCATTCAAGTTGGGCTTGTGAGGAAGCGTCGGGGTTGGGTCTCTGGGTTCTGTGTCTGGATTTGCGTAGACTGTGGCCGCGTCACTTAATCGCACTGCGCTTCAATTCCCTGCCTGCGACACGAGGCTAGTTACATGTCTTTGGCCCCCCGAAAGGGCAGGCTCCATATGGCAGGGTTTGTTTCTGGCCTTGCGCTGCGGGGTGCTGATCTGGGCTGAGGCCTCTGGGTCTTTCTGGCATGAACGTTAACGCTCCAAGCTGACAGTGACCTTTCCTGGGGAAACCTAGGCCGCTCTGAGCCCCGTGGAGAGCAGGGCTGCATGGCTCAGTCCATGCCCATCCAAAGCAGAGATGGATTTTGCCCTTAAATGTGAGCTGTGCCTGGTGGCTAACCCTGACCGGTATTGCTAGCAGCCAGAGGCATAGAGCACAGCAGATCAAACTTGCTTAGTGCCTGGTCCTTCCAGGAACAGGAGGTCTGTGGTGAGGGAGCTCTGAGCCCCGTGGAGAGCAGGGCTGCATGGCTCAGTCCATGCCCATCCAAAGCAGAGATGGATTTTGCCCTTAAATGTGAGCTGTGCCTGGTGGCTAACCCTGACCGGTATTGCTAGCAGCCAGAGGCATAGAGCACAGCAGATCAAACTTGCTTAGTGCCTGGTCCTTCCAGGAACAGGAGGTCTGTGGTGAGGGAGCCTGCTGCTTCTGTACCGCGCTTGGCAGCACGGCATCAGATAACGAGGTGGTGGTGATCAGTCTTGGTGCCTAGGTAGAGTGAGGCCCGGCAGCATTTCTGAAGCAGATTTGCCCTCCAGCGGGGCCATTCCTGGTAAAGTAGCTGCTAGCAGCAAAAGCAGCTCTCCCAGCTATGGCGCTTTCGGCCTGGCACTGCTGTCTCCCATTAGGCCGGGAGATGAATTAGAGCCTCTGAGGTGACGTGGACTGGGGCAGGCGTGAAGGCCCTTTGTGTGCCCGCCAGCAGAGAAGACGTTGTCTGATCACTCCCTCAGTGACCCTTGCTTGCTTTGAGCCCCACTATCCTGCAGAGGGGTGAGCACCCCCCACCCAGAGCACCCTGCACTCAGCGATCTCGGGGGTGTGAGGGACCGAGCCGGGTCTGGCCACAGCTGAGGGCGTCTGCTCAGGGCGAATCGCTCAAATCAGGGGCTCTCTCTAGCCCCCAGACTGGAGGCCTTCCCAAATAGGCCGCAAACCAGTCCCACAGAGCGCTTCAGCTGCCTGCCTGAAGCCTCACGAGCAAAACCCCTCTGGCACCCCAGCAATATCCGTGCCCCAGGTGGCCCTGGGCCTCATACACAGGTGGGGGGGGTCTTAGCACCCAATCTCACCTACCCCGAACAAGTTCTGTCTGGTTCCAAGAAACCAGCCACAGATCCCAGGCCAGTTTACTCTCTGGATCTTACCCAGAAACCACACTGAGCCAATCCTTTAGAATCTACAATCTAAAGGTTTATTGCTACAAGAAAGAAAAGCATGAGAGTGAGGTTGTTAAAGTATCAGACGTTACATGTATCGAATCTCCCAGTTCTCAGTTCAGGCTCTAGCAGAGATGTTCTAGCTACTGGCTTAAAAGTCCTGTGCACATCCTATGGCAGGATGGGTCCACAGTTCTTCCCGGCTCATGATTCCCTGCGAGGCCGCATCTGGAGTCCGAAGCTGATCTGAAGACCCACCTGGAGTCGGCCACCTCGCATCTTTCTCCCTCCTTCCAGGTTTCTTCCAAGCTGGCCCCCGTCACATGGCCAGGTGTGTCTTTGGCCTCCAGAGATCCACTGTTCCTTGGAGACTTGCTCATTAGCATGTCAGTAGCCAAACATTCCTGGCCCATTCCTCAACCACATATAGAGAACCTTCCAGTCTCCACACAGAGTACACATTCATAACTTCACCCCCAGACATTACACAGCTATGTGAAGAGCATGTACAGCACCAGTAGAAAGTAAGCGTTTGACACCTCACAAGGCCCCCTTTGTACCACTTTTGGGGTGAACACCCCCCCATGGGTGCAGCAGTGACCCAACTGCTCCTCTCAAAATCCAGTAACGTGACGGGGGTAGAAAGATGATGCTCCTTAGCGGTAAAAGCCTGAGTGGAATTAGCCCAGACAGCGGCATTAGCTCCCTGTCCCTCCTTCCTGCCATCTTTAAATGGCCTCTACTGCCCTAGGGCAGAAACAAGACCGCCAGCCTTTGCCGCGCATTCCTGGAGGACTTCCAGTCAGACTCTCTTGGCTCCGCGGCAGGGCGAAGAGAGGATGTTTGTACCAGGGCCCTCAGCATCTGTAACTGGGTGAAATGGAGGGGAGGACCCCTGGGAACGTGATATTCGTGGGCCTGCGCGAAGATCACGGCTTCAGAGCTCCCTGTCCCCCAAACATTTTCCCTTCTTCCTGGCAGCGCTCCCCACCCCGAGTGTGAAAGCGTTGGCGTCCGCTTCCTTGTAGCTACACGAATGAGGAGGCTGAGGCCCTCGCCAACTGCTCCGCTTCCCCCCCCCAGAGCGGCTTTCAGCTCTGCTGCGCTGCGGCGTGGGGACTGCCAGACCCTTCCCCCCAGCTTGGCTAGAGCCGACAGCGCCGTAGACCCTGTGGTGTGGGCACACCCGTGGGTACATGTAAAAGACGCAGGACGGCTGCTGGAGGATGACCTCTCTCAGGAACAAGGAGGGACTATAAAGGTGTTTTTTCCTCTCTCCCAGTTTCTCTCTGTGCATGGAAGCTCATAAGAAAATGGAAGAACTCTCTTTCCTCTGGGTTCCTGTCTCAGCCTCACAAGCTCACTCCCTGCAGAACATCATGCCACAGAAGTGGCATACATCAGCACAGGCCCCTCAGCTCAGCTAAAGGAGAATCCCCAGCATTTGCATACACTGTAGGGCCTATGACACAGACTAGAGGCTCTGATCCCAAATAATAAGTCTAGGGTTCCGTTAGCGCGCTCCTCCGCTGGAAGGGAGGTGTTCCCAGCCTGCAGATGGAAGGTGTGGAAAGGAGAATGCAAACATTCAGCTATGAAACAGGTTTATTAGGATTAGCATTTTTCACAAAGCCAAAAACGGCCTCGCAGTATCAAAACAGCAGCAGAAGATTGGTAAGAATGGTGTGTATTTATGGCAGAACCTGGCAGCTCCCAAAAGGCAGCAGGGTGGCCGGGTGCTGCTCAAACAGAGGTTTGGTCCCCACCCCAACAAACTTACACTCTAGAGAAAGCACGTGTGCGGGGAGCAAGCTATGGGCAAAGGCAACAAGATCCTGAGCCTGCGTAGGCCAAAGGAAGTACCAGGAGCCTTTCCTAGCTGTTGCAACGTGCGATCCGGTCGCATCGCTGGGCAGGCTGAGATTGGGAAGTGGGGCAGGGATACAAACACCTTCTCTGATGTGGCTACAGGATCTGCATAGCGCTGTCGACCGCAGGGACTAAAGCCACGTGCCTGCATGAGCGCAAAGTCAGCAGACTTCACTCGCCCGGCTCAGTGGCCTCGGTGCCTCTGGGTTACAGATGGAGCATCGGCTCTCGTGCTAAAGGCTGAACGTCTGCTGCTTGAGGTACAGGAGGAATCCCGTTAGCTATAGTAGACTCTTATCCCCAGAGGCGCAGCCGCTAGCTCGCTCTGATCTCTGACACCACTGATCTAAACAGAACAAAGGGATTACTTTCCAGGACTGGATTATCGAGCCGTGAAAACCCCTCTCTTCCCCGTTTAATCCTTTCTCTGCCTTTGGGACAGGCCTGGGTCCCCAGCACCTTTACCCTGTGCCCTATCCGACACCCCCCTCCCCAAGCCTCAGGAGGGTGAGCCCCAGTTGCCCTGTTCAGCAGTTAAGTGGTTAAAGTTAAAGCAAGCACATGCTCAGCTTGTGTCAGGTGTGGGTGGGGTTCTTAGCAGCCCACGAAGGGTGAAGGAGCCGTTCCTGGCGGGGGTGCTGGCCAGGAAGGAGGGGGGACCAGCAGCCCCTCCGATCCCCTAGCAGGTCGATTGGGTGATGTTTTTGATCCACAGCAAGTATCGGGAGATCTGGGTATAGACCGTCGGGAGCTTGCTGCCGCCGCATCTCTTGCTGCCAAAGGAGACCACGCCTTCAGCCACGTCATCGCACACCAGCGGCCCGCCCGAGTCGCCCTGCGGACGGGACACACACGAGCTAGCCCGCGGGAACAGCACGGGAACCACGGGCGCCAGATCTGACTCAGGTCTCAGAGGCTGCCCAACCGCCCCATTACCACACATGCTGCGCTCCCGTCTCTCTGATGCTACCCTGTGTGACTTACCCATCAGCACCCGAACCCCTGTGCCCCCCCTTCTCTGGAGCACTCCATGAGCCCTATGGGCCTGCTGGTCTGTTGCCTTGCAGCTCACAGCATCACTTGCACCTGGGCGCGGAAGGGAGCATTTCAGGCTCAGGCTCGCCGAATCTGGATCTTCAGGGTGAACATGGGACTTGTCATCCTGGCTCAGAGCAGAGCGCGGGTACCTGCCCTCCACTCGCGCCCGCTGCTTCTATGCTTGAGAAGGAGCTGTGAGAACCCCAGGAGCAGATCGCTCTGAGATAAGGGGTCCTCCAGGAGCTTTTCTTCCTGACCTTACAGTTAGAGGTTGGATCCTGCCCTGGAACATGAGAATTTATATTCCACCACCCTAACCCTAACCCTAGCCCTAGCCCTCCACCATCCCATCCCTATCCTTATAACTCGGGATATTCCTATTGTCCACAGCTACATCCTGTCCTTTTGTGAATCTTGAGGCTATCCTGTGGCAGTGAGTTCCACAGGCAGATCAGCTGGCACCTTCCTATTATCCCAGTCTGGCCTAAAGCACTCAGGGAATGGACTGCTGGTTGCACTACCGTAAGGGGCCAATCAGGAGGCCCCGTAGGGAAGACATTCCCGGGGCCAATCAGGAGGCCCCGTAGGGAAGACTGCTGCCCGGAATGCTACACATCTGGCCTCCCCTCGCTGAGCAAGAGGCAGGACGGTACCTCGCAGGCATTGTGGTGCATGTTCCCAGCGCAGACCATGTTCTCGGTGATCCTCCATTTGCGGCCGACGTTGCACTTGTCCCTCGACACCAGGGTGACGTTCACTTCCTGCAGACTGTTGCTGGACTCTCTGTTTTGGCCGGTGCGGCCCCAGCCCGCTGTGCTGCAGGACGCCGTGAGGGGGATCTCCCTGTCCCGCTCCGGGAGTCTCACCGGCTTCGTTGTCGCGTCCTCGGGCACAGGGCTGCTCAGCTGCAGACAGTGGGAGGAGAATGTGGTCAGGACATGCAGGCTCTCCCCTAAGCACGGGGCCCGTTGGGTTTGTCAGTCAACACTCCGGGGGCTGGAAGGCTCCGGGAAGTGGCCTGGCCTGGCTGCTAGAGGGCCCACGAGGGCACCGCATTTTGGGTTTGGGGGACAGACCAACCGCCGATTCTGATCTTGCACAGGCTTTGATTGTCAGCGTAGCTAGAAATGCGCATTTCACCCCCCTCTGCTTTAAATCAGCCGGGCCTGCGAGCCCTCTAGAGGAAAAGCGAGACACTTGTATCCACCATCTGAAAGCCCCGGGAGCCCAGCTCCATGCTCTTAGGCCCCTACGGGAAAGAACTGGTGTTCAAAAGGTCTCAGCGCCCAGAGACTTCAGTGCTCTTGCGAATCGGGCCGGGGCCTAATATGGATTTAATTCCATCCTCGATTTCCTCTCACCCCCTTGGTCGGGTTAGCCTGTTCCATCAGATCTTACTCTGCCTGACACAGCTCTCAGCTGAGATACCAAGACACCGATGTAGAACGGGGGGGAAGAACCTCAGGTCCGGGGGCCGGATGCAGCCCTCGGCTTGCCTGGATCCGGCCCCCGAGGCTCAGGGCTTCCCCCAACATCGGGGAGCCTGCGCTGATGCCCCAGTGCCCCGCTGCCTCCCCGGGGGTTGGAGCGCACAGAATCTACTAGGCTAGGCCCCCCGAGGCTCTGGTGTGGGAGGGGGATGTGGGGAGACACGGTGAGGGGTTAATTTCCGCTTCTCACTTGTGTGCGTCCCCCCCACCCAAAAAGGGTTCCTGCCCCTGCAATATAAGAGAGACTCTCCCATGCTTTGGTCCCTCCGTGGCCCTGAAAGCTCCTGTAGCCTGACTCGTCAGTGAATCTGTATTTTGTTAGTGTCTCCGTGTGATTCTTGGCGTGAAAACAGATCCCTTGGGTCTCAGGCCGCCTGCCGGGTGCAGGTTACAAAGCGGAGTCGCTGCCCACGCGGCCGAGAGGGGATGTTCAAGTGAGCGGCGCGTGGCGGAGCCTAGGAACGAGAGTGCTGGTCACGTCCCACAGGCTCAGGAGGGCAGTCGGAGGACCTAGGAGCTGTGGGCCTGCGGCGCCCAGGGTCACTTACACCAGCACAAAGAGCTACGTTCCGATGCCGTAGCCCTTGGCGCGGGGGCAGAGGCCTGCAGGAGGTGCAGAGCGGTGGAGGTGTTAGGAGGCAAATTGTCCCATTCGGCAATTCCAGGGGCGACTTCCCCCAGGCTCTTGGTTCCCTGGTTTTGCTACATGCTCCTTCGTCCTTGCCAGCCCTGGGACATTAGCCTGGTCCTGCCGTCAAATAAAGCCCGAGTACATACTCGGAGCAGCATTCATTCATAGAGTCATAGAACACTAGGACTGGAAGGGACCTCGAGAGGTCACCGAGTCCAGTCCCCCGCCCCCATGGCAGGACCAAATACTGTCTAGACCCGTGGTCACCAACCAGTAGATCGCAATCTACCGGTAGATCTCAGGGGCTCTAAGAGTAGCTCTTGAGCCCTCTCTGAACTGTGCACAGTGCATTTACATTAGATTTCCTCATGTAATGTAGGCGGGGCTTCAAGGAAGGGGGGGCGGAGCAGTAGATCTTCGCCTGTTCTGAGACTTAAAAAGTGATCTTGGGTGTAAAAAGGTTGGAGACCACTTGGCTAGACCATCCCTGATAGACATTTATTTAACCCACTCTTACATGTCTCCAGAGATGGGGATTCCACAACCTCCCTGGGCAATTTATTCCAGTGTTTCACCACCCTGACCGTTAGGAACTTTTTCCTAATGTCCAACCTAAACCTCCCTTGCTGCAGTTTAAGCCCATTGCTGCTTGTTCTATCCTCAGAGGCCAAGATGAACAAGTTTTCTCCCTCCTCCTTTAGATACCTGAAAACTGCTCTCATGTCCCCCCTCAATCTTCTCTTTTCTAAACTAAACAAACCCAGTTCTTTCAGCCTTCCCTCATAGGTCATGCTCTCTAGACCTTTAATCATTCTTGTTGCTCTTCTCTGGACCCTCTCCAATTTCTCCACATCTTTCTTGAAATGCGGTGCCCAGAACTGGACACAAGACTCCAACTGAGGCCTAACTAGTGCAGAGTGTCTTGCTCACAACACACCTGTTAATACATCCCAGAATCATGTTTGCTTTCTTTGCAACAGCATCACACTGCTGACTCATATTTAACTTGTGGTCCACTATGACCCCTAGATCCCTTTCTGCCATACTCCTTCCTAGACAGTCGCTTCCCATTCTGTATGTGTGAAACTGATTGTTCCTGCCTAAGTGGAGCACTTTGCATTTGTCTTTATTAAACTTCATCCTGTTTATCTCAGACCATTTCTCCAATTTGTCCAGGTCATTTTGAATTATTACCCTATCCTTCAGAGCAGCCGCAACCCCTCCCAGCTTGGTATCATCTGCAAGCTTAATAAGCGTACTCTCTATGCCAATATCTAAATCGCTGATGAAGATATTGAACAGAACCGGTCCCAAAACAGACCCCTGCGGAACCCCACTTGTTCTGCCTTTCCAGCAGGATTGTGAACCATTAATAACTACTCTCTGAGTACGGTTATCCAGCCAGTTATGCACCCACCTTATAGTAGCCCCATCTAAGTTGGATTTGCCTAGTTTATTGATCAGAATATCATGTATTCTCAAGCCCGAGTACTTACTCGGAGCAGCATGAGGTCATTCTCCATGGTCTCTGCGTTGAACTTAGGGTGCGGGTAAAAGCGTATGACTTCCCTCACGTAGTTGGGGGTGTCACTCCGCAGCTGGACGCCCAGCATAACCAGGACGCGCACGTTCCTGCAAGACACAAGGTTCCTGTGAGCAGAGCACCGTCCATGCCCACTCGGAGCCTGCGTGCCCCGTGCTCTCGGCAGGCAGCGCAGGTCCCTGGCGAAAGCCGCTGGGCTGTGAAAAAGGAGACCGGGGTTCTCCGCCCAGCTCATGGGCCAGAGGCGCGAGCGCTTGTACGTCTCGTGCCTCACTGTCCCCAGCAGTGCGGCCATGAGGAGAGGGAAGCCAGCGAGAAGGTGCAGGGGATGGAGGAAGAGAGACACACGAGGGCCAGTTCTCGGTGAAGGTTGTCTCCCGGAAGCCTGCAGCTGCAGGATCAAGGCGCCCACCTGATGATGTGGCAATGGGCTGCGGTCATCACCCACAGAGGCTGGATCAGGAACCCGTCACATAGAAATTCCCTATATTCGTTTTCCAGGAAGGCCATGTAGGGCCGGGAGTGGTTCTGCACTTTGTGTCCCCCGACGATCGTAACATCCTGCTCGCCTGGCGGGGGAGAGAACAGAGTTTAGCTGCTGGTG